ACTTGTTGTTAAACAAATGTTTAAACAACTCTGTTCAATTATGTACCAGTTGCCCAGTGTCAGCTAACAATACGAAGAATTAAACTGTGGCAAAATGATACAAGTTCTTCAATACCTATAGAATGATAGGTTTCTTTTTTGTGAGTGTAAAACACTTAAATACTCAAATTCATTATATTTTATTGTAAATTTCATCAAATATTCTTGTACAAATAAAGATATAACATTTTACTGTCTACGAGAAAGTTGTACTGTCCTTGGTTGAAGATATGTTTCTCTGGTACCAAAGCTGGAAGTAAACATTTTCTGAACTTTTTATTTTCCTTTATAATTAGTCAAAAAGGTAAGTTGGTTCTAATTGCATAAAATTACGAGGTAAAGTTGAATATTTGCATGGAAAGTCAGGAGGAAAAATATGGAGTCACTGTATAAGACAACATAAATAAAAGACCTCTTGACAACTGTTGAAATCGTGCAGGTTTAGTTATTGATTAATTTCTGTTTTCATTGAAATTTGTGAAGGCTTTAAACTTTAGAGGAAAGATAAAGAAAAGATTATAATGAAATAAATCACTATAATAAAAACTGAAGAATTTTATAAAATGAAACTAAAAAAATGTTTGCATGCTATATTTTTGGTGGGGTGAACTTAATTTATTTTAATGTATTAAAAATACACTTAATTTATGTTTTCTGCACGTAATGGATACATCTTAATTTGCTGACATATCTTTGTTTTTGAAAACATATTCTTATCACAAGTATAATAGTTAAAATCAACTAGAGGCTTAATTTTATTTAAAGAATTTACAAATAAGGAAATTTCATCTGTTGACTTAAAACATTTGACAAGTATCTTCATTTGGAACTTCTTAATATACAAAAATAGTAACAGGTGTTAATTTCTTACAAGTAAAACCTCATTTTATATTTTGCAAACAGTGTTTAAAGTGTGTATCAATAGAACCAGATTATGCTTGTTGTTGTGATCTGTGATTTAACTGAAAATTAATTTTGGGTAATCATTTATTAAACTTCATAAAAATTAGAACCAAATTTAGTTTCTTGTGATCAATCTAATAGAGCATGGTCTTGGGTATTCTGCCTGGTTTAAGCTATGTTTTATTACATCAACAGTATAGTTAGGTAGATATGTGGGTTGTTAGAAAAAAAATTATGAATGAATATTGCATTAAGAATGTTCTTGTAAAGTTACTTAATATAAATAATTTTGTTGTGCAAAATGCAATCCAACAGAAAATGTTAGGATGTGAAAGATCTGAATTTGGAGTTTGTTACCAATAATCTATAATGCTGAAGACTTGAACATAAAAATTGCTGTTTTCTATTATTTGATGTATTAATTTTAGAGTTAAACATACCATCATTAGTTGGAAGTATTGTTATAATTCATATGTTGTTATATATGTTTGCTAAACTATGATTAGAAGGTTTTATGTTTAATTGTAAACTTTTATGTGGTAAATTGTTCTCAAATGGTGTAAAATAAAAAAATGCATTTATGATTACCCTCTATGCCAGAAATTATATTCATTTTTCAAAATATAATTTAAAACATTTCACAAAATTATTTGTATGGTGAAACCTTTTTTTGAGTTTTAGACTTTTCTCTCTCTTTTTTTTTTTTGATCAAAGAAAGATAAATATATGTCTCTCAAGTTTCTTCATGAACTTTGAACTAACACCTTCTATATTAAAGACATTTTCTATTGCAATACATTTTTGCACGACATATTAAAGTTTTGTTATTTCTGTCTTCAGCGTATAGTTTTGAATGGGTGTATTAAACAATATTATCCTTCATAATTTGTGTCTCAGAAACCAGTAAAGTTTTGTTTTCATAGGCTGAAGTACAGTTATTGAAGAACTATCTCGCATCCATCCAGGAAGATGATTTGAGGCATTAGATTCATGTGATGCTCATATATGGAATGTACCAACTGCTGAACAAAACAACAAACATGGCTGACTAAGCCAATGTCCATTTGTAATGACCAAAGCACAAGTAATCAGATGCTGATTAAAAATTGATGAATAACTTGATTTTTGTGGTCAGAAAAAGTATGCACCATTGGTTGTATTGTATGAAAAATGAAACCTCTGTAAACAAGTTAGTTTATATATTGTACGAAGAAGAGAACTTTTGTAAGGTAAACTTCTGTTGAAATGATTGATAATGTAGATTTGTTGCCTTTTTTATCAGTGTGTAATGTGCCTAGAATTTCAGGTGGGAATTATTTTTTTCTTCGAACAATAAGTTAAATTAGTTTCATTCCATGCAATTATGATATTAATGTTTGTTTCTTTTTTTGTATTATGGTAATTTGGGAAATTGTGTGTATACATTTTAAGCTCTTGAGCACAAAACAGAGTCTAAGGTCAAACTAACTTAAAGGAGAAAGGACCAAAATAAAAACTTCAGTTGTTTAGAAGAGACTTGGTTTTACATTGTTTTTGAAAATACATTCCATAAACTTTCTTAATTAAATGATTATAACTTGAATATATTCATTATTTAATGCTCTATTATACAGTATATTTCACAGTATAGCAACGTGCTTAACATGTATTAATTTTAAATAAAGAAATTTCTTATTGGTGTTTCTTAAGATTTGTTTAATAGTCAGTATTGTTTAGATTTTGGGGCCGAAATTAGACTAGTTTCAACATTTAAAGTATTTTAATAAAATAAATGGTTTTCTATGATACTCGCTTAGAATGAACTCAACACACTTCATGTAGTTACAAAAATATACTGAGTTTTGCATTTGCACCATCACAAACTAACTTTTTATGTGACGTAAGGCCAAAAATAAATATTTTTTGTACAGTTAGATTTACTTTTTGTTGCATTTTAAAAAAGCAGTTTTGAGAACTTGAAAGAGGAAGTTGTATTTTATGTACTGTTTTTCAGAAAACTAACTTTGGCTGAGAAAGTTTTTACTTAATATGGTTCCAATTGACAAAAGAGATTTTGGAAGTTTCCTTTTGCTAACTGTGAAATCTCCAGTATTGGCATTTAGTTATAATGTGATAAGTATTTACAGTATCTGTATTGTGATGCTAAATATTACAAAATTTGAAAACTTCTGTCCATTTTTTTTTCAAGTGGTAATGCATGTAATAAATTGAGTTAATTCAACAATAAATTTGGTTGCCATTACTAATAGTACTAAAAAATACATTTCAAACTCTTTGGATCTCTATAACAAGAAAACCTTCATGTACTACAATAACTTAACAGTTTTTTTGTTTGTTTGTTTAATTAAAATGAACTATTGAATAAGCCAGTGAATTTCATATTCTCTAAACTTTGAATTAATAATATAATTAACTTATACGATGGTTCATTGCTGTTTGTTGTTTTTGCTGTGAGTTAACAGTAGACTAAAGTTTGTACCCAACAAAAATGCAGCAGTAAGAGTTTACAATTTACATTGGTGTTTCAAATGTTAATTGTTCTTTGGTATGTATAAAATGTAATTTTTTTCATGTCCATACATGCCATTAAATTTATTAAAAAGAACATTTCAGTATTTCATGAGTATTAGATTTTATTCAGAAAATAGATGACTGATAATAAAAAAATAGATTTCTATAAACAATGAGTTCCTTAAAGGGTTAAAACTTCGATTAACCAAAAAAAATGTTGTTTTCATGCATTTTAACCAAAGAATGTGTAAAAAGAAAATTGTGGACAGAAATATCAAATACAGCATCTTACAAATGTATTCACCCCTGACCAATAATGTCTCATTTTGATGAAATACAAATAATGTAAACAATTTCTTTAAGGAACTTGTTTTTATTCGAAACACTAATAATCAAACTTAACACTGTTATATGTGAAGGAGGTTGAATGTTGGCAAAACCTGCAAAGAAAATATATAAATTGAAATTTGCTGATTGCATAAGTATTCATCCCCTTAAGTCAGTACTTGGTGAAAGCATCTTTGGCAACAATTACTGCTGTGAGACTTTTTGTATAGGTCTCTACCACCTTTGCAAAATGGGGTGGTGTAATTTTTGGCTATTCTTTCTGGCAAAATTGCTTCATTGATGGACTGCATTTTTCAAGTCTTGCCATAAATTTTCCATTGGATTCAAATCAGTACTTTGACTGAGCTACTCTAGGACATTCACTTTCTTCTTTTGAAATCGCTCCAGTGTGTCTTTGGTCTTGTACATCAGGTCATTGTCCTGCTGAAATGTGCATTTACGACCCAGTTTTAGATTCTTGGCTGACTCAAGCAGGCTTTCCTATAGGATTCACCTGTACTTTGCACCATCAGTTTTCCCCTTAATCCTGACAAGTTTCCAGTCTCTGCTGATGAGAAGCATCCCCATAACATGATGCTGCCACTACCAAGCTTGACAATTGGGATGGTGTTGACTGGGTGATATGTTGTGTTTGGCTTGCACCAGACATAACACTTTGAATTTAGACCAAAAAGCTCAATTTTGTCTCATCTGACCACAAAATCTTCTGCCACGTGTCTGCAGTATCATTTAGATGCTTTGTTGCAAACTCCCTAGGAGATTTAAGATGATTCTTTTTCAGTAATTGCTTCTTTTTTGCCATTTGCTCATACAGGCCAGCTTTGTATAGAGACCAGAATATTGTCAGTGTATGAACACTGACTCCCATCTCAGACATGGCACTTTGCAAATCTTTCAAAGTCACTGTTGCCTTCACAGTGGCATCTCTAACCAGTTTCCTGCTTTTACAATTGCTTAGTTTGGAAGGCGGACTGATCTGGGTGGTATGAAGCACATTCCACTTCTTAATGATGGATTTCACTGTACTCAAAGGGATAATCAGCGACTTTGAAATTTTCTTGTAACCTTCTCCTGATCTGTGATTCTCTACCACATTATCTCTGACTTGCTTGGAAAGCTTATTGGTTTTCATGGTGGTTTGTCATTTCACTATGTGAGTTTTGGCTTGAACAGATGCATTTACTCTGAAGTCAAGTCAAACCATTTTGATTACACACACACACTAATTACACCCATTACACTAATTTTGTGACCTTTTAAATTAATCTTTTGCACCTGAACTGATTTAGGGTTGACATAGCAAAAGGGTTGAATTCTTATGCAATTGAGAATATTCTATTGTCCTTTGAAAATATAACTTGCATAATATCAGCACCTTTTTTAGCTTTCTCAGTTTGGAGTAAAATTGTGTAGATTCTAAATATAATGTCCGATTTGAAAGTTTCATTATTGCAAGCTCAAGTGGCAACAAAATGTGGAACTTTGCAGGGGAGGGTGAATACTTTTGCAAGGATCTGTATATAGATCTTATTTACACTTCAAGCTGCATTCTTCACACTAGACATTTTATAACCAACAGGTCTGTAGAAACGTAAATTTATTTTCACCTGGCATTTGATAATGAAGTTTTTATAAGCATGTCACTTTCTATACACTGGACTTGTTTTATTTTCACCTAATGCTTGATAATGATAAGATCTTTAAAAATGCCACTTTTTTATGCTTTAATCATAACCATTTTTTGACCAAAGTTTTTTAGTATGTAAGGATTTACTACTCCAACACTTGTCCTGTTCATTATTGAATAGCTTTGACAAAGCGTATAAAAATTGCTGATGAACAGGACTGTAGCACTCTATTGTAATTGGACAGGCTTATTTTTTCCACACTATGTGGTAATTTTCGATTATTGTGATAACTTATTAACCAGTTTTATGCATATATTTTACAGTTACATCTGTATTCATGTCAACTATCCCATGAGACTGGGTATTCTTTTAACTGTGGTCTGTTACACTGTATAATATATTGATAATTCAACCAGTATATAAGAGTGAGAATGTAGTTTGTTGTTAAGTTGTGTTGATTACAAAAACATAATTTCATAGTTTGTAAATCTGATGTTGACAGGACAGTCTGCCTGTTGGTAAAAAAGGAAGAATGATACAGAAAGTCATTAGTATAAAAACATATGCTAGATTATAATGAAAACATTCAATGTTAAGGATGACCTCAAAAGTCATCAGTATAGAAACATATGCTAGATTATAATGAAAACATTCAATGTTAAGGATGACCTCAAAAGTCATTAGTATAGAAACATATGCTAGATTATAATGGAAACATTTCGATGTTAAGGATGACATCGAAAGTCATCAGTATAGAAACGTATGCGAGATTATAATGGAAACATTATCGATGTTAAGGATGACATCGAAAGTCATCAGTATAGAAACGTATGCGAGATTATAATGGAAACATTATCGATGTTAAGGATGACATCGAAAGTCATCAGTATAGAAACGTATGCAAGATTATAATGAAAACATTCGATGTTAAGGATGCCCTCAAAAGTCATTAGTATAGAAACGTATGCTAAATTCTCATGAAAACATTTGATGTTAAGAATAAAAGCATTTTTTTCACAACTTGGTATTTGTAATTGCTTGATCATTGTTTCAGACTTAAATTTAACTTTTGGTTGGTTATTAACATAATTTTTCAAATTTTCATTTTACTCAAATGAGTAATATGCCTGAAACTTAAAAGAATAGGTTTAATTTGAAGTTTAGGTTAGAGCACGAACAGGTTAAATTAAATTATATCATCTGAATCTTGCGAGTTAAAATTTTATAGATTTGACTAACATTTCAGCTTTGTTGAATCTGCGGGTCTCTCTGAAATTTCTGAGGTCTGCTCTGATTTTTTTTTCTCTTGGTTCTGTGGTTTAAAAAACATGAAATTTCTTCTCCATTTTGTGTATCTACTAATTGCCAATGTTTTCTCTTCTTATAAAGCATTAGTAAAATGGAACTAATAAACCTACAAAAAAATGCAACTTGTGTATTGTTGTTATAATGGTCGTTTTTTTTCTTGAAGGTCAAAATTTTTTTATGAGAATCTCAACAAAAGATGGGTATCTCAAGTATAATAAAGTAATTGTGGACTTAATTCGTCTATGGTTTTTTACCTGTGAATCGTTGGATTATCTGTAAAGCACTTCAATGAAATAAGTATCCAAAAAATAAACACTTTAATTCAGTGAGACAAGGGAATCTGTTGAAGTCTTTCACTGCCAGTTTGTATATAAACAACACTCCCAGTTCCTGAGTTACTTTAATTAAGATACACGACAAAAACATGTTTTAATATAATATTTCATTTCTTAACTGATAAACTTTTGGAAACCCGAATTGGAATACCCTTTCTTCATGTGGTTTAAAGCTTCAAATTCACATGACAGTGTTCTAAATGGGGACTTGTATGTGCAAATGACAGTTAAAGAGTCAAAGCAGCCTCGTATAATAATATTTCACTCAGTACCAAAGTTCATCAGGCCTACAGGGTTATGGTACACAAAGTATTGGTTGAAATACTATTTATATCGGTCATTTATGAGACATATATTCTAAGGTGTGCAATTCCTAAGCTGATGACGAATGATTCATTAGTTGATAAAAGGTATGATGTTACATCACTGACAGATGGGTGATACTTTTTTATATTAATTTTTACTGGGCCGTTATGGGTTTTCAGTAAGAAGAGAACGTAAGAGAATTTTAGCTTTACTTTTGCCATTGTGTAACACTTTGAATGAGGTTTTTCAGTCTACGTAATTTGTTCATGTTTTGGTTAGATAAACGTACATTCTTTAATATGCAAGTAATAGGTAAGTTTTTATCAATACAATTTTATTCATTGTCTATTAATTAATATGTATTACATCATTTGTGAATACACGCCCACACACGTGTATAATACCTGGCAGTATTAATCCGTCAACCAGTACATTAAACTTAGTGGGAGGGTTAAATAATTTGAGGTTGGCCAGATATACTCCAGTTTTTACATGACTTCCAAAAAAGGCCCAGTAACTAAATCTGGTGATATGGTGTGATGATACAACTGAAAAAAAATGGCCCATACACAGCAGTAAGGTCAGTCGATGATGTGATGTATAGACAGTACTGTATAAGCAGAAGCCTGGAAAACTACCAATAAAGCATGTTGAACAACTAATATAATAGTTGATGTTGATACCCTTCATTTATTACCACAGTCAAATGGTGGTAATGCGTGTATCCTGGTGGGGTTTATCTTATTACGTGGCTGGGTAAAAATAAAATTTACAAGAGGAAAGTATGTGCAACATAAACTTTTAGATCTTAATTGGGTTTAAAAACAAAACCTATGTTCAAGAGTAATTCATGGAAGTCTTGAATGTGATGATACATAGTAGAATAATTAATTGTGATATTACCCTTTGTCTTTTTAAGAACTTTTAAAAGTAAGGTTGGAACTTGGTATGTGTTTTTGTAAAATGCGTATAAAACAAGGCAAACAGTGTATTTTTTTATCTAAGATGACTGTAAATTTCAATAACAATGAGTAAATAAACAAATTTAAAACAAAACTGATGTGATATGTAGACCAATATTCTGTTAAATGTTCCGATACAAAATGCAGCCATCTGTACTATTAACATATGTTCATCAGAGAAGTTTGGATTCAGTGTATATAGTGTGATTATTATACC